TCCCCGGCCAAAGGTCGGATACTTTTCTCACAGGCCTCGTATAGTTGCACTCTCATATATATACATCACATTCAGATACATAATTGAATATGCACAAACCGGTTCAACTATATGATGGAAAATATGCTTGTGCTGTCACACATACATATCCATCAGCACATAACTACCAGTACATGATTTCACCATTCAGCAGCTAGCTTGGCTTTCATGACAATCAATGCTAGCATCCATCATATTCTCCATGTGTTAAGCCTTCTTGCCACCTAAGCACTTAGAACAGTGTCATGACAATAAAAGTAATCACAGACAGAAATAAGCTGAAGTGGTTTGTCCTGTTGTAAATATCCACTGAGATCACATTTCATGTCATAATACAACTTAGTATTACAACAGCAAAATTACATAATAACGTTGTTCTTTACCCAAATAGCCATGTTTGTCCCACTCATACTGTCATCAAGGAGTTGTGAAAAACCTGCTATATCAGATAAACATGAAAAATAACTAAGACAAAAATCTAGCAAAATGTCTATCATTTTGCTAATTTGTACTGTTTATGTTAATTTTCATTCTGTGTTAGAGCACGATTCTGTTACTGCACTTTGGAAAGACTGATGTCTATCAACCATATATAAGGTACAAGCTTTCATAACAAAGTCAAACAAGTTTATTTGCAAGATTGGAAGTATACTCGGGAAGTTTATACCAGTAAATGTGCACCAACATTTGCCACAAAATTTAACATGCATGTTCAGAAAATGAGGATTGCAAAGCCCTTTCAACTTATTGATTTGTTAAAATTCCAAATCACCATCAACAGTTGAGACTAACCTCAGATTTCATAGCTTCATATGATCTTCACAGAAATTCTACTTCAAGTCAGCTAGATAAACTGAGCGATTATCACAAGACATTTCACCAACATTTTGCTACCAAATATCTCTTGATGTATCTTTGAAAATTAAGATCATGAAGTCATTTTTACATTGTTAATTTTCCAACCAAGAAACTATCTTGATTGTAAAAAAAATCAAGTGGCTATCACATGATGTAATGCATATACATCTTATCATGAAACACCACTTGACAAATCAGAAAGCAAGGAATGCTATGTCTTTTTAGTCATTGGTTTCCAGTCAATTGACTGTCCTAACAAAAAAAAAGAAAATCAAAAGGCTATCGTATGATGTACTGCATATATCCTGTACTAAAACACTCATCGATAACTTGGAAAGCAAGGGACACAATTCCTTTTCAGCAGTCAGTCTACTGGCTAACCAGCATCCTAACTTCTGGTCAAACAGTTAATCCCAGCCATAATGATTAGAAGGTTTACAGCAACTTCTCAGCTGATTTTCAGAGTAGGTGGACCACTCCTTCATTGTTTTTTTTTTACTCTTCTTGGGGAAACAGGTATGTAATGCCATCTTCCTCCTCCTCAGCTGAGGTGGGATTTTATGACACCTTCTCATCAACTTATTCATCTACCTCTGATTCTTTGAATAACCCAAGAGGCTCATCAGTGATGTAGATTTTAGCTTTTCTATGTATTTGACACATGTATTCACTCACAGTAACCATTATAATGCATAATTAACTTACTTGAGCTGACAATGACAAGATATGGACCAATTCAGTCAGAATCAAGTTGTTTCTATGCTGCAGGTGCATACCACAACCATATCCAATCACTAGGTTTGAATTGCTGTTCCATTACTGTTGTTACATAACATACAACAGATTTACTCCACAAAGGAGGCATATTTCTTGTCTGAACAACAGAAGATTAGTAGAGCAACTAGTCAGTTGTTGCTTAATTTTAACGTTTATCGTAATGACATATATGGTAGATGCTCTTCCCAATCAGCTCAGTTAGGCTTAGCAAATGTAGTTAACACATGTTTGAAAGTCTGTACATTCATTCAGCCACACTATCAGACTGAGGATGCAGCATGAATTTTTGTCACATCCAAATTTCAACATAACTATGCAAACAAATGTTTTTGGAGTTAGCTCTGTGTGGATTTCTTCAGGCATACCAGTTAGATATCTATTGGTAAGCCAACACACCTGCAATGAGCTTTGTTAATTTTTCAACTATTGGATAAGCTTCAACCCAATTTGTGAAGTAATTGACAATGACCAGCACATATCAGTTACCTTTGTCAGTTTCAGAACCTCACATTAGAAATAAATCTCACAGTAAAAAACCCTTTGGTCATAGCACCAAAATGATACTTGTTACTTCTTGTAACTAGTACATGGTATCCAGATACACTGATATGAAACAAATATTTATTCACAGTAAGGCTTTTATGAAGAGTTTACAAATTTTGATCAAAACTGGTTGCTGGGGAAGAAACCAAAACCTATGTGGATGGGCTACTTGACTCTTGTAATTGCAATCCAGTAATGAACATGCTCTCCTTTTTGTCCATGTAATCATTATAATATGATGGTGAATCTTTATTTGTTGTTAAAGAGTAGCCCAAAAGTTGGTGGTGGGTGCAGCCAACTGTTTGCCTTCCCTTTGGTCAGTGGTTCAAAATTAATGATGGCCCCAGATAACCTTAGTAGCTTTGCCATAAACAAATAAGCATGTCAAAAACCAACTTTTATTGCATTATTCCACAAGTCATTAGGTTACATACTTCAACCACTTGTTTACATAGCCAGTCCATACCGTCCCAAGCCAGTTTTTACTGTGTCAACTGTTTCAATAGGTCCATACAGAAACATATACATGCTGACACGAGACTTAAGTTGCAGTATACTTCAGGAAAAACATGGTGATTTAAAAGTTTTTATTGATATTTAGGTTCTGACTAGGTACTCAATATACATATTAAAATAGCATCTATACAAGTTTCTATAGTGTGCATTTTAATATTTTGAAATTTAGAATGATTGAAAGATGTAAGATATAAATTAAGATGTGTTATTTTTAGAAAAGCCTGATAATTAAACATAACGTAGTAGTTGAGGTGCTTGAAATAGGTTCTGGATGGATGATAACTTGTTGTTTCGAGGGTGGTAGTAAACATTAGTGTGTGTAAAGTGCACTTAAATTGATGTGTAAACCTACATAAACATGTTTACCTAGTATGTATTCATACATAGGCCTACACTGTGTGGCTGGAGTGCATTGATTTGTTAAATGTTGAAAGATTAATGCAAACTACATTATTATACTAGTACTTGGAATGAACAGAAATGACACAAAGGTGTATAACAAATATTGAATTGTAAAAACTTCGAAGGACAAAACTCTAAATCTTAACATGTGTCTAGTGTAATAATGTGTAAAAACTTGGTAAACATATTTTTAAACCTGCACACCTTTGTCTATAATGTGCTGATTTATTAAACTAAATATTTGAAAGGTAAGAGGCTTTTTACTAGTTTTACGTTTAATGGCCTTTAGTTTAACAAACATTATGGCTTAGAAAAATGTTTGTGGTAATACTTTGTTAGACTTGTACCAAGGTCTGTATTGTTGTTATATTTTCATGCTTGATAGCTGGGCTCGTCGTGCTCGAGACTGCTGTTTATTTACCAAAGAAAAGTCCCAAATGACTGAAGGAGGGGACAGTTCACCTCGAAAGTGGGTACTCATCAAGTATCCCACAGTCATCAACCAACTTGTGTGTCTGCCAGCTGACTACAGTGATCTCATCAACAACATTTCTATGTTCACTTGTCCAAATTCTAATGGAGATGATAGTCGTTCTCCCACTTTGTGTCTTGTTTGTGGCCAGATGCTTTGCTCTCATAGTTACTGCTGTCAGATGGAGTTAGAAGGAGTTGTGGTTGGAGCCTGTACTTTCCATGCTCATATTTGTGGTGCTGGGGTTGGGATGTTCTTAAGAATAAGGAACTGTGAAATATTACTACTTGGGGGTAAAACCAAAGGTATAGTATTTTGGGTTTAGTGTGCAACACATCTTGGTTAACTTACATTTGATTAAGACATATTTTTCAGTATGTTGTAATGTTTCTGTTAAAACACAGCAAAGCATCAAACATTCATGCAAAATGTATGATAATATAGAAATCAATTCATGATGTTTTGAACTATTAAATAGTTTAGAATATAGCAATCATTATTTGTATGCTTATTGGCTCAAGTGCCTGGACTTTTATATGTTTATTTGTATAGAGAATGTATATTTACTTAGTATGTTTAGAAAATGTACTTTATCTACAAAGACTAGTGAAAACAGTTACTTAAGCAGACCTCAAAATTTTTTTCTCTGTCAACTGGTACTGTAGAACAAGTAGGCCTAAAATTTCACTCATCCTGCATATGTCAGTTATTTACAATATTGTAAGTAATAATATTGTAAATACTGTGAAAAAGCAGGACAAGTAATTCAGCAAAGTACTAAGAAACTGGCTAAAACACAAATATGTGTGTAACAGAGAACAATGTATTTATACATTTTTCTTAAACTTGAACACTCATGTAAATAGTATTGTAAATAACTATTAAACACTTCAGTCTAATCAATGAAAAATCAACAGTTTTTCATCATGTGCATTTCTAATGTAGTTTTCACTTTAATGCAAGTATAATACTTACAAGTTTTTGAACATTTTAGTCTTAACTATATGTAACTTAAACTCATTTCTATATATATATTATTGTTAATTGTTAAAATACACACACAATAGCACCTACCAAATGTGAATATATACACCTGGAAAAAAGTTAAGCACCCCCGTGTTTTTTTCAAGTGATTCAG